CTGGGTGTCCAGTATAGTCAGGCTCCACACAACTCAACACTATGTTCTCGATAAAAATAGAATGAAGAGGCTAGGATGGATATGCCATGTACTAAAAATAAGATTAGAAATGAGACTGTACGTAGTATTTTGTAGTTGCCAATGATGCATTAACTTTCTTCTTTCATACATCTAGCAATAATCCGGACATAATAGCAAAAACAAATAAACTAACTGACCTTAAATCTATTGAGATTAAAACTTAATATTGTTAATACATTCTTCGCGAACATTACGTCTTTCAAATTCTGCTCCAATAGTATTTTAGTCGAAATGACTTGATTCTCATTTCATATAATGTAAGAATTTGGGTTAATTTAGTCAATGACCACTGAACTTTGTCATGTTTACTACTTGCTCATTTATCTTTAAAAGTTACTCGTTACTAACTGAACTTTACTATATGTTACTGCTTGTTCACTGAAATTTAAAAGTTTACTTGTTGCTCAATTAAATTTGAATTAAATTTCTTGTTGCTCACTAAACATTGATAGACGTAACAATTATGAAAATGATATGGGTGGTTAATGAATAACTTTATTCAAATTTGAGTGAGCAACGAGTAACCTTTTAAATTTCGGTGAGCAAATAACATATTGTTGACAATACAAAAATGAGGCTCAATTAAATAGTCCAAAGGATGGAGCCCGGTTGGGGAAGTTGAGATATGAGCCCAAATGAGACCATTGTGAAACATAGTGGAGACCTATAAATAGAGAATTATTATCGCCCAAACTTACCGAACGCCCAGAAGCCGAGCCAATGGAGTATCTCATTATCGCTCAAAGCGACGGGCCTATTCTCCCCCAAGCCTTCGAGACGCCCAAGATCTGAGCGAACATGGTATATTGCATTTATTTAAAGCAGTGGTTATCAAAGTAGTTATTGAACAAACTTATCACATTCCACGATCCAAGAATTTCGGTTGCAAGAAGTTAAGAGATAGGGTAATAACAGCAGTTAAAAATGGTGAACCACTCACGATGGAGAAAGTTGATAGTTATAGAGCGACGACCAGTAGTTTCTAAAGCGGTTTTACAAAGAAAATCGACAAAGGTGTAGAAAAGAAGGAAGACAACATAGAAGACGAGTCCCGAATCAATCACTTCAAACAGTGAATATGTAATTTTACTTCTTTTAATTCTAATCGTCAACTTTCAAATTACTTTTTGTGCTTGTGACCCTAGGAGGCGTT